ACACATGCCACACTATTTAAATAGCTGCTTATTATTGTTAGTAACATCGTGATAAATCGAGACAAAACTTGAGAACAATTATTAATATTTTCAATAAAGTATGCGATAGTCCTTTTTCCTCAACTTTTTTTCAATTAGGAAATAATGATTGGAAAATATGTTCAACTTTGCGTGTAGATTAAGATTTCTGCAGATTCGTTTTGAACGATTTTTAAATATTTTCATAAATCCCCCCCCCGAAAAACAATAATAATTATTAGGCAAATTGACTTCAAGCTTTCTTCACAAAAAATGCGTTTTCCTCAAATATTATAAAAAAAAACTTTTTTTTAAATAAAAAGTTTCATTGTTATGCTTTTGAGATTCTTTGTTTTCGTGGCGAAATATTTTTTTTTCTTCATATTAATATTATTTTTGTTTATTGAAGCTATACAGTTTTCACATTCCATATAGTCTTTCTATATATTTTCTATTTTAATTTTCCAAACTTAACGGCTCTTTAGAATATAAATTCATAAATTTATCACAATTTTAAGTCAAAATCGCGAAGGTATATTAGCTAAATACATGGATGAAACACGAGGAATATATGTTACATAGTTTTTAATACTACGTGTATATTTCGATTTTGAAAAATATTTGTTAAATCTTATAGTGTTTTTAATTCAGAGTATTCAAATAAAATCGTAAGAACTAGTTCATTTTTAAGGAAAGCAATGTCTAAAATTAAGTACCGTAGATCGCTTGAAGGGCCGAAATTTATGCCTTCCTAGAACCATCATTGCGGTCAAAATTGGCAAAACAAAATTGACAAAAATAATAATTATCATTTTTTTTAAGATTTTTTTTAAAAGAAATATAAAACGATTGCCTTACAATGCATCCCATTCCACTGTGGTATCTCCTGCAACGAAAATGCGGATGCACTGGCCAAGAAAGGTTGTTTTGTTAATCAAGCAAGCCCCAAATAACTTGGTTAGTTATAAGTCCACTTCATTAATGATTAATCATGTAATTAAGACAACACATATACCATTGCTAAAAGAACGGACGATAGAAAAATCGCGGAGAATCTTAATCTCCCCGATCGCCCAAGAAGCAGTGCTGTAGCTGCCTTTCGTCTTGCTACCAAGCACGATTGTTTATACGTTCATCTTTTCCGTCTTAAAATAGTGGATAACTGTCCCCTCTGCCGTAGTGGTGCGACGATGAATGCTGAACATCTCCTCAACTGTTCAGTTTTCACAAAGAACTGTATCTACTCTTGATACTGGGAGTCCAGAGACCTTTTGTTCAATTTAAATTCTTGATTTAATTATTGTGTTTGATGTTTTGCTTTTGTTTTTGTATTTCGTATATTTCATCTCTTTCTGTATTTGTATTTTTCTTTTCTTTGTGATCTCTGTACGGCGTTAGGATAATGTCTGTATCGCCTGCATTGGAAATAAAAAAGAAGGAAAAAGAAATTTTTCTTAAGAAAATACTATTACAACTATGTATTGAGCTGATTTTATGAAAGACAACAAAATTTTTTTCACTAAATGGAACCAAATCTTGAAAGCGATATAACGGCGATGTAACGACGATTTATCACTCAACTAAAATTTTATTATTGTTGCTTTATGTTATTGTTAAAATATTGTTGCTTTATTTATGAAAAAAGGGAAAATAAAATCTTGCATTTCTGTCTATTCAAATGCATGCCTTATAAACAAATAAGGATAAGTTCTAGTTCAAATTTCAGCATGAAACAAGGTTGAAAAATAAAACCTTTCGATTGATAAAACACCCAATGATTTGAAACCAAAAAGTAGAAAATAGACGAAATAAACCGTAAAATTGTATTTACTTCCAGTAACTAATCGAATTTTTTTATTCGCATTAATATAGCTTTTAAATTATTTTCATTTGAACAGGACTTCGAATGATATTGAATTCATTAAATTTGATTTTTACTGATCGTATGGCCACACATAACGAATTATCAGTACAAATTTTCGATTTTTACTTATATATATATATAAAATTCAAAACAAATATTCATGAAATATATTCATAGCTGCCAACTCTACCGGATTTTCCAGTAGACTGCTGGAGTTTGCTAGTTTCTCCTGGTCTACTGGTTTACTAAAAATTTTCCCGGTTTTTGTACATTTTAGAAAACTCCCTAAATTTAAGCAAGTTTCCTAAGCAAAAATCCCTATTGAAATAGATTATTGCTTGTTTGAATATCTAAGTATTACTAAGTATTACTAATGCATAAGTAAACATTTGTCAGGAACAAGTTTACTGTAACAAAAGGCATGTATTTGTTCTGTAATAAAGATATAATGCTATGTTATTTACAAAGAATTGTCATTTTTGATCAACAATTTTGCAATATTTAATTTCCAAGTCGTCGTCGTTTCATCCCCTTCACTTGCTTTTGTCTACCCACCTCATTTAGAAGTCCTTCATGATTCCGAACTACTTTTTTAGTACACACACTTTATCACTGTTATCATGCCCAGTATTTATACCTGCTGAAACATATAGAGAAAGGAAAAGATATTGGCGTTTTCCTGTTTTTTGTAAAGCTTTAGATACAAAACATTTAACTTATAACTGTGCTCACATAAATTATATCGTATCGTATGTTTTAATGTCCCAGGGTATGGTGTTACTAAACACAAAAAAACTACTTTACAACCCATAAATGCATAATGGAACCTTCGTGGTGTTTACTGCACCGAGGACCTTCCTTGGTATTTCCATGCACCTTTACAACAAATCTAAACAAGTTGTTGCCATTTTTGGTGTCAATTTACTATGAAATTTTTTGAGCAATGTACGAGAGTTGTTGATAGGTGTAAAACAATTTAAATTACAGCAGCATAAAATATTGAGACTGCTGTTTTGTCGCAGTAAAGTATTCGGAAAAAAATTTTATGAAGTTTTCAAAAAAGTATAAATACATAATTTTTTTCATCAAGAAAAAAGAAGGTATTTTTTCCAATATTAAATATTGATTAATTTTATAAATGAAGTAAAGCGAATTTCTGGTCCTAACACAAATTTCTACTCGATAATACACTTTCTTAAGTCCGCTCAACTAGTTTCTTTACTCAACTTAACAGAAGCGAGCGAAACACAACAAGTTAGTAATGTTACATGTAATTATAATTTTCTTTCCCTTTAATTATTTTTCTATTATATGAACAAATTAAACGTTATAAAAGTGATATAAACTGCACGTCCTTTAAAAGGAGAAAAAAAGACAGAATAAAAGCCACGCTACATAAAATGTTTAACAATGTATCTAAAAAGAAGAATGGAAATGAGAAATGAGTGCATGTATTGTATTGTGATGAGACGCATTAAATGAAATGAATAAAAACATGTATCATCATCTGCATCAAAATAAACTATATAATATTATATTTTGATTAAAAAGATAGTTCAATAGTATAGTTTATTTTTCTTATTTTCTTTGAAATCCGAATAAATGAATAGGAAAAAAGAGCCCACCTCAAATGAATTTTATATTCTTTTGAATAAAACTTAACAATTCGCTCAACCTACAATATATTCTGAGCACGTTTTATTATTTAAACAGTTAATTTTCACATATTTAAAACTGATTGAGCTGAGTTGTGTATTAGATTATAAAATAAGACAGTAAATAATCACTGTTGTTAAGATTCTAAATAATTTAATATTAACTGTTGTTGTTTTGACTTTTGTAAATGGTTTTAACGCGTCATGAAGTTCAGTCGATGCCGGTACTGGTGAACACTTAAAACCGTGCCCAAAATGGATTAAATGCGCATCAGGAGTGAGAATAATTTTATGCTTGAATCTCAAGCACGTGCACTGGAATAGTGTACTTTATCAATATGAGTGAGTAATTTTCCTAAGTGGCTATTCATAAAACAAGGAAGTACAATTATAGTTCTAATAAAATGTACTTGCACCTTATTATACTTTTGAATTTAAAAATCTTTCAGTGACTAGGTTTCAAATTTTAAAAAAATGACTTTTTCAAAACAGAAATTTTTAAAGTATTCATTGCTTTCTCTTTATGAAATTTACCTTTATAGTTTTCAGTAAATTACACTTTTTAGGTTTTTCAGAATCAAGTTCTAGAATTTTTAACTTAATTACTATACTATATGCATATACTATATACTTTATTACTGTACTATAATATGTATTAGCACAGCATAAATTATAGAAATTTCGGTTTCATTGCAGTAAAATGTTGTGGAAAAAATTTACTAAAGTTCAAGGAATATAAATATTTATTATAAGGCATTTATTTCAATAATAAATTAAAACTTTTGAATGTTATAAATATAGTATGGACAATTTTTTATCTGAATTAAATCTGATCTAAGCACGCTCTGACGTCAACTTAACTAGGTTTTTTCTTCTTACATGAACTTAGCAAAAACAATTTGAATAGTTGTATACGTGATATTATAATGTGCTTTCCCTTCAATACTTATTTATCCACAATATCAACAAATTAAACGTAACAAAAGCTTAATAAACTGTGCGTCCTTCAAAAGGAAAAAAAACCGGAAAATAGAAGTAAAAAAGAGTAAAAATTTTAGTAGCATGTAGAAAGAACAATATTGCTTCCTTAAAGAAATAAAAAAAGAAATATATAGATTGTATTGTAATGAAATGTAGAGAATGAAATGAATTCAATTATATTTCATCACATGTAAACAAATCTGCAATATCAAAATAAACATATTTTATGTTGATCAGAAAAATATCTCAATAGTGGTATTGTTCACCTTTCAGATTATTTTTTTTAAAAAATCCAAAATTTTAAATAAAGAATAGGGAAATAGAGCTCCGCATCAAACAATTTTTGTATTATTTTTAACAAAACTTAACTATTCAGTCAATCCACAATGAGTTTTGATCACGTTTTATTGTTTAAACAGCTAATTTTTACATATTTAAAGCTGATTGAATTTAGTTTATATAAGTATTAGATAGTAAAATAATACTGGTAAATTATCATTGATGCTAAGATGTTAATTACTTCAATATTATCTGTTGTTGTTTTGACTATTGTCAATGGTATGCCTTCAAATTCGGACGATGTAGGTGATGGCGAGTACTTTAAAGCTTGCATGGAATGGACTAAATGCACATCAGAGGGTGAGAATATTTTTATGCTCAAATCGTAAACGCATGTGCTAGAATTAATATACCTTATATGTATGAGTTTAAAAAAGGATTATTTTCCTAAGAGACAATTCGTAATGCAAAGTAAAGCATTCATACTTCTAATAAGCTATGCTTCCACTTACCTTTATAATTCAACAAAGTATACTTTTCTCAATTTTTTTCTGAAATTTCCTAACTTAATTATCCAAATTCAGTATTTATAACTTCCGGTTACATATTTTTATTTTACTATCCTCGTGTCTCTTCAATCTAGTGAACGCAAATCTAGTGGACAGAAAACAAATTGAACGTAAACACAACAGTGTTCCATTCGTTTGCTAACCACTTTCATCTGTGTCATTCTAGGTGAAACATTGTTTTTATTAGAATTATTAATTTGTTTAATAAGAGAAAATTTAATTAGTTTAATGTAGCAGCTAAAGCTTTTATGAACTACTTCATTCTATTAACTTGTAAATATTTAATTGTAAATATATAATTGTAAATATATAATTGTAATGTATATAATTGTAAATATATAATTGTAAATATATAATTCATTCCGAAAAATATTTATTTTTCAGATTTAACGCCTATATTTGCTTAAACTAATCAGTTTAAAATATATCAACTAATCAGTATTCCATATTCTAGTAATAGCTAGTAGTATTATAAACTAATTAGTTTAGTAACTATGCTATGTTTGATTAAACATATCTAAATAAAAAAATCTTAGTAGAAGAAACGATTAAGTGTCATTTTTGAAAAAATTGCGATTTCTCCAAAAAAAAGTCATATTTTATTCTTATTTAAATTTATAACATTCATTTATATTGCCAAATCTATTAACTTTTAAATACTCAATGGAAAAACCAGCAAATCGACATTATTTGTGGGAGAACCGACGCAGTGACTTGGCGACAAATGGTCAGAAAAGCAACCCTAATTTATCATTTGAGCGCTAAGGCGTTGGGAGTTAGAAGTGAAAAATTTGAAACAGTATCTTAAATACATAAATGAGGAATTTAAAAAAAAAATTTGAGAATCAATAATTGAAAAAAGAAAAGGAAAACTAGCCCTTAAATAGGAATTACCCAAAAATCGGAAATTGGGTTATTTTCGAAAATGTCATGTTGTTGTTTTTTTCTCTAACACGAAAACAATTTGATTTTAGGTAAGGACCGAGATGATGAGTTTAGTGCTTGTGTAAAGATGGCACCAAAGGAGGTAAAATTATTTATTTTGAAGTTGTGTACGAAGACAAATTTGTGGGAATATATAACATAACATTTTATGATTAATCTTAATTTATTGAAGTTTATAACACTAAAACAGCAGACATTTTTATCTACGTAAAACGATCATTGCTTTCATTAGAAAATAAGCTTAAGTATTTGATTTTTATTTCAAATATCATCATAAATAGTTAGAAAAGGTTATTTTTAATAATTTGAATACCTTGCAATACATATAATGAAATTATATTTTGTATATAAAGTATTAGCCTTTTTCCAAGTTAAATAATAGCATACTATAGTACACTGAAGAGCCAAAAAAAAACTGGTACAGGCATGAGTATGCAAATAAAGGGGTATGGAGCCAATCAAAGAACAGCGCTGCGATCGGCAACGCGTATGTAAGACAACGAGTGTCTAGCACAGTTCTTAGATCGGTTACTGCTGCTACAATGCCAGGTTATACAGATTTAAGTGAGTTTGAACGTGGTGTTATAGTCGGCACACGGGAGATGGGAGATAGCATCTCCGAGATAGCAATGAAATTTGTATTTTCACGCACGACCAATTCACGAGTATACCGTGAGTATCGGAAATCCACCAAAATCCCCAGACATGAACATTATTGAACATATTTGGGATGCCTTGCAACGTGATGTTCGGAAGATATCCCCACCCCCTCTTACTCCCACTGGCTTATGGACAGCCCTGGAAGATTCATGGTGTCAATTATCTCCAGCACTACTTCACACATTGATCGAATCCATTCCACATCGTGTTGCGGCACTTCTGCATGCTCGCGGGGGCCCTACATGATATTAGGCAGGTATACCAGCTTTTTTGGCTCTTCAGTGTAGATATCAACATAAGATTTTAAATAAATTTTACCAACTAGCTTTTTTAGCATTTTCCTCATATAAATTTTAGGCATGTTTGTTTTGGGTTGATTAGTGTTGGCAGAAAGAACACGCACTGAGATAGTTTATTACACGCAGTTTCTGAAATGTCAGAGTGTAGACAAGTTGGTAGTTTCTTTGTTGCAATCTTTACTTAGATGACAAGGTACAGAATAAAGAACTTGTAGAGTTTCCCACTTTAAAATAAATTCAGAAAAATTGGCTAACTTAGCAAATTTAAAATTGACGAAACTAAAATTGGTAATATTCTAAAGATAGTTTGTGTTGCTCACAAACGGCCTATTTGATGGATATTGAAAAAATTTGCTTTTTCATAGAGAGTTTTGTAATTATAATATTTGTTAAAACTTCCATTGTTTCGTATAATACTCAAGATGCAGACATTTTTCTTCTTATTTTTCTCTTGAGCAAAACATAACCTCTTTTTCTACCTCAGGTGTAATTTTTTTTACTTGTGTCAACTTCAAAAACACTTTCTTTTTATGTAAGGGTAGTTATAGAGACTTCCATGCTATATTACACTATAAAGTGGCTAGTGGGCTGAGCCCCCAGATCGCTAACGCAAGCCAACCCCCGAAAATTGCTACGCAATCTTATATGGTTTGCTTCGCTAACCAAGCTCGCTTCGCTCGCTACTAACTTAAGTACATTACAAATGCACAAAATTCTAAGAAATCAAAGCAATCATTCAAATCCATATAACAACTTTTTTTTTAAAAAAAATTACACCTTTTTAGTAAATACTAAGTCATTAAAATAAATTTGAATTCAAATAAATGACATGTAATTCGTAAAACCTATTGGAAATGTGCTATAGTATTAAATCTTAAGATAAAATTTCTAAAACTGATATCTCTTTAAAAAGGTTAAAGCTTTGCGTGAAAAAAAGCCCTTTCGACAAAATACTAAAATAGAAATCCATCGACAAAGACTACTCATTTCTGCCTAGCTTAATAGTATGAGATTGCCGCAGCTGATAGGGAAGAGATCACATTTGGAAGAGGTCACATTTCGGAAGAGGTCACATTTGGTGAGAATGCTCTCTCTGGTTATTTCAGTTTCCGTTTTTAAAAGCGCTATATGTTGAGCCACCTCAACTAGATTTGGCATGTGAAATTTTTAGCAGCAATCATTGGTCGATTTTCTAGCGTTGCCATTCGGCGAATTGTAATGAAGCTCTTTTTGTCGCCGTGTAAGAGAAATATATATATAGATATCAAAGTCACATTACGATCTCTTTAACGCAATTTAAAACGACATTTATGCTTGTGAAAATGACTGCTTTAACCGTTTTTGACTTATATATGACGAGCGCGTGATAATCTGGGCATCCTCAATCATTATACAAAAACAAAGTCTAACATCGGCTAACTTCAAATATGATAATTAATTGGTACAAATGATATTTTAAGTTACGAAATTAAACACAAAGACGTGTTTTCTTCGAATAAACATTAATTTTTTTACAGAATTGAATTCCTGATCCTAAGAATACAGGGGACGCCACAATCCAAAAACTTCGGACAGGAGAGCGGTTCAAATTTTTAATCCCTTATTTTGCGCTTTGCACATCTCTCCATATCGGAAAAATTTTCAAGCAAATAAAGAAAATTATGCACAAAATTATAAAATTTGCTCAGTCAAAAATTAGTTCATGTCATTAATTAGTTATTAATTAAAGGTAAAAAAAAATTTAAATTATAGGAAATTGCAATTTTATTCGTAAAAATAAAAAAAAATGTAAGCGAAATCGGTCGAGTAGCTCCTGAAAAATCAAATTTTAGGAAAGTCGTATAAAGAAAATTCAATATCTCGCGATCAATTCTACCGATTTCGTTCGAATTTTGAATTTTGCCATATCAAATTACTTTCCTTAAAATGATAATAGTTATACTATAGTTATACAAGTAGTTATACTATAAATAGTCATTAAAAATATTTTTACATGGAGATAAACAATTTTTATAATTTTGTTTGAAAAAGTTTCGCAAGAAGAAATACGCAAGAAGTAAAATTAACATTACCAATTTAGGCCGCAAAATAGTTATGCTATTTCAAATGGCGACCGAATTATTACTTTTACTAGAACGAATAGTAATTTTACTATAAAAACGATTTTTGTAATTTTTCGATTCTTTTAAAAATACGCAAAAATTGAAACTAATAAGTAGCTGCCACAAATTTCGTTCATATCCCAGACCAAAAAATTGAAAAAATATTTTCCAGAAGTCCATTACAACCCTTACAATTTTGAGAGTCAAAAATTCAAATCAATTGAAAAATAAAGTAATGTCTTTAGTCGGAGGTAATTTTTTGTACCTAATTTCGTAAATTAATTAGTACTAAAGAATTAATAGTTTTCAGTTTAATCATTGCATCTTAATCAAATCTTTCTCAATTTTAATTTTGAATTTTTGAAAGTGAAAATCTCATCACTAGCATTTAAGCTATTTAGAGTGATACATTTTTTCTTTCACTGTACTATTAACTAAATATTTAAGGCTTAACATAATTTTTTTGACAGAAAGCTGAGAAATTAGTGAAGAATATCGGAGCTTTTGCCGAAAATGAGTGGCCAGACATACCAGCAATATTTATAGATTACTGTGCCATGACCGAGGAAAAGAAGGTATGGTGTAAAAATTGCATTTTTACGACAATTCATAAAATGCCGACCAGGTGGCAGAGTGGTTAGCGTGTCTGACTGCGGAGCCATTGGCGGCGGGTTCGAATCCTGCTCAGGGCATGGACGTTTCTTTCTCTCTCTGTGTGTGTTCTATGTCCTTTCCTCTCTGTGTAAATGTGACCCGCCCTGTAAACGGATTTGTGGTTGTGTAACGTGGGTGACGCTGCTCCACCGCCATGGCTTTGCCACAGATACCCACTGGGTAACGAGAAGAGAGTAGCAGTTCTGGCATTTCTGTGGCCAATGGGACAAACCCCTAGTGCCCGCCATTAAAAAAAAATTTAAAAAAAGTTTACAAAACTGATAAATTTTATTATTATAAAAACGTCTACAGTATAAAGTGCCTTTCATAGCCTAAACAAGAAATCATTTCAGGATTCTATTTAGAAGTCTATCAACTATGTTTTGAACTATTCTATTAAAATCAAGTGCATTTACTATTGAGTAGTGCATTTGAAGTGCATTTACTACTTTAAATGCACTTGTCTTTTCGAAAAACCGCGCATAAAAAAAGAAATTCCACTTCTTCTCTTACAAGGGAAACTAGGGAAGTGTGACTCGCCAATTTTGAAATTAACTAGTGGGATGTATGCCTTATGAGGAATAATTTTAGGGGGCAACATTCGTTTCGACCCATAGAAGGTCCTGTGAGAGATAAAAAATAAATCAATATATAGAAAAATCGGTATTTTATTACTTTAATGCAGAATATTAGTTATTGTAATTGTCTCATACTCCAATTAATGTGTAATTAATTGGTTAACTAGTTAATTTGCTAATTGATAAATTAATAAGCAAATTAATTAATTAATTATTAATTATTATTTTACTAATAATTAATTATTAACTAATTATTAAATAATTATTAAATAATTATTAATTAATTATTAACTAATTATCACTTATTAACTAGTAATTAGTAATTATTAATCATTAATTAATTATTATTAATATTATTAATTATTATTAATATTATTAACTATTATTAATTATTATTAATCAATTATTAATTTTTTAATTGATTTGCAACTACATACTCCAATTAATTCGGAAAATTTTTTGAAAAAAAAATTAAAAAATTTGATGTCAATTTTTTTTAAAAATTAACCTAACAGGTTTTTCTGAAAAACTACATATATATAAAATTTTCGAAATCAATTTTGACAATAAATATGCATTATATAGAACGTGAAAGTACCACAAGATTAATTGGAGTAGGAGATAATTACAATAACTAATAGTCTGCATTGAAGTAATAAAATACCGATTTTTCTACATATTGAATTATTTTTTATCTCTCACTGAACCTTCTATGGGCCGAAACGAATGTTGCCCTCTAAAATTATTCTTCACAAGGCACACATTCTGCTAGTTTATTTCAAAATAGACGAGTCACACTTCACTAGTTTCCCTTGTTAGTCAGTATTTCAGAACACGTGTACTATTATCATTAATACTCAAAAGAAGTTGTGGACAATAATTTTAAGCACAACATGAGATTTCGTGTGTAAGGTGGTGCAAAACACTGATTTTGAGATAAACGCATTAAAAGACTATCCACTATCGTTAGTCTATCCACTGTTATCACCTTGTATTAAAATACTTTGAAAATAATTAGAGTAAAAACAAAAGTAAAGTATTTTTAGAAATCATTTGCTCACGAAATTTCACTGATAAACATAATAATATTTTTCACCACAAATCACTTTCGAAGAGCACCGATCTAAATAAATTTTGAATTTACAGCTGAACCGCAATCTTGTAGAAGAATCACTCTAGTAAATTTGAACTACCGCTTTTTTTTATTTTTGCAAATGCTGAAAAGCTGCCACATTAAAAACCAGAATTCGAAAACAAAATTTAAAAGCGTTCATCCTTAGTAGCGGGACTTCCTTTTTTTTGTTCTCTCCCAGCAGCGGAGCCTTCTCCTTGGAATCTCCTCTCAACTGCTCAGCTTCAGCAAAGTGTAGGCGCCGGAGCTCTTTTACTACTGTTTTTTTTATTATTTATTAAAAAACGAGCATTTTATCAATATGCCTTCTTTAAAAAAAAATAACAATGAGAGGTGGCAATAAGCAGGGATTGGGGTTTCAGGCACAATGCTATACATGATTATCATTTAATAAGAAATATTCATGAAGTGCTTGCTTCCAAGTGTCACAAAATCGTAGTGGTCCTCAATAAACGTTATGGAAAATCTTGCAAAATAAATCCTTAAAGATTCCTAAAGTTTCAGAGAATAAGGGAAATCTTAGTTATTATAATTGGTCTGTTAAAAACGTCGAGGGAAAAAAGATCGTCTGCACGGTTAGTAAAGGGTAAACTATAAAATGTTAATTAATGCATAACTGTAAGCCAATAAATTGAAAGACAAGATGCGAATATTAAAGTGTGAGAAAGAACGTTTTGTTTAGAATAAAAAATAAGGAAGATTTGGATAAAGAAACAAGCTACTAAAGAAAATATATATATATATATATAAANTGATGACTCAAATGCTAACATCGAACAAAAATGTTGCTCAATAAAGGATTTAACAGTTCCACCTTTAAAATATTTCACAATTGGTTGGTTTTAGAAGAAAAAAATTATAATCTTAATAAATTTAAACAACAAATGGTTAATCTTTTCTTGTTGATTTTATATAAAAATTTATAAAATGCGCTTGTTTGAGAATAACAAGCTAAGAAAGTAACGAAGAACACTGCAAAATAACAGAAATGATAATGTATTTACATTAAATCAACTTAATTATTTCATAAATTCCATACAATATTCAATGTACTAATTTTTTAAAGTACCATAAGGCTTATAACTTCATAATTCAACTTACATACAATGTTTTGATTTTTCATTCAGTAAATCCAAACAATGGAATTAATTTAGATTTGCAGTTTATGCATTGTGTTTAAAAGAGAACATTTCAACTACGATTGTAATATAATCAAGATAACTTGGAATTATGATTTAATTTATTCCTATTGTCTTTGAATAATACTTATATTTATGATTTTGAATGACTACTTGCATTTATGATTATAAATTAGACTATAAATAAGTTATTGATCGATTAATTGATTCGTAAGTTTATGAGTAAATATAACAAGAATTACTTGTGCTTGAACATTATGATTACATATAGCCCTGGTTACATAATTATAATGAATATAATCATGATAATTAATGTTAGTTGTAACCATAACTTTATTACTTATGAACTTTTTCTTGTGGGTTTAAATAATTATTACCTTTTGAAATGAGAAAACTAAAATAACTATTTATCATAATTACTTGTAATCATGTTTACCAGCTATTACTATGTAAATTCAATGAGTTAAATATGTAATTTATTATAAAGTAATTAATGTCTACAATTAATCATAACTGTAATGCATGTAAGGAAGCAGCATTATATTTACAATTTGAACCACTTAGTAAAGAATTTATTCGAAGACAATGCATCAAGTCTGATTTATTTGGAGATTATTCATTAGTCAAAAACTAGCATAAACTAACGCAATAAATCAATTGTTGTAATCCAACTCTGTAAGGAAGCAGCATAATATTTACAATTTGAACCACTTAGTGAAGAATTTATTGGAAGACAATGCGTCAAGTCTGATCAACTCTGGTCAACTCTGTCGGGATATTTACAATTTAAACCGGTTAGTAAAGAATTTATTCGAAGACAATGTGTTAAGTCTAAATTATTTGGTGATTATTCATTAGTAAGAAAACTAGCATAAACTAACGCAATAAATCAATTGTTGTAATCCTTCTCTGTAAGGAAACATCAAAATATTTACAATTTAAACCGGTTTGTGAAGAATTTATTCTAAGACAATGCGTCAAGTCTGATTTATTTGGTGATTATTCATTTGTCAAAAAGTAGCATAAACTAACGCAATAAATCAATTGTTGTAATCCTTCTCTGTAAGGAAACATCATAATATTTACAATTTAAACCGGTTAGTATATTATAATAAGTTTGCAAATTCAGGAGGAGGTAGATATTCTCTAAAAAAAATTATATATTTTTAGTCCACGTGTGGTGATTTTATGCAAGCTGTTTCATGTCAACAAATAACAGACATGAATGTGAGTATCACTTGGTATTTTAAATAATTTAATATTTTTATATTTATTTATTGAATAAGTATTTAATATGTATTAGTGCGTACACGACGTAATATGAGATGTTAGAATCAGAAAGGCTCGTTTTATATAGAACGTAATAAGAATAAAGTTATCACACATATGATCACAATCAAACTTCAGTTAGGGATTATTAGACTATTTCATGCGAGCATTAGATTTTTTATACGAAGAAATCAGAATTTCATGCGTTTTGAAAGTCAATTTTTGGTATTGTTCCGCTTAAAGAGGACGTGAAAATTCAATGAATTATTTTTGCTTCAGTGACGTTTAACCTACTGTAGTTATACGCATTACTGGTATTGTGCGAATAAGAAAAAAAGACTTTGCATATTTATGTAGATATTTATTATTGTATTTAATAAGTTTTTACTACCCCACAGTAAAGAAATAGTAACTCATTTTTTTTTATGATCAAGCATATTCCACAATTAAGGACTCATGATCCACTGATTTTGAAAAAGTACCTTTCATTTAATTGATCTATCTGAAAATAAAGAATGATAAAAACTTATTTTAATGATAAGGTTTATCTTAAAATTTTAAAATTTTGTCAGAAATGTTGTGATTTGCAAAAACGTTACAGAGATATGACAATAAAGCACGCATTTAGTAAAACTAACATGTATGGGGCGTAGAGCCGTGATGGTTCAGGGAATAGAGCGTTCACCTTCCAATGAGATGAACAAGTTTCGAATGCCAGCAATGGCTGGTCGATATGAGCTCCGCATCCGGCTTGCACCGACCACAGTGCTGACATAAATATCCTCGGGGAAAAACGGATATTGGGTTGGTGTCCCCTTTCCGTCAGGCTAACCGTGGGTGGTTTGCGTGGTTTTTCTTCTCCATATAACGAATTTCGGGTTAGTTCCAGCAAAATGTCCTCCACGAAGGTAAATTTTTTCCCAATACTTGATCCAGGAGTTCACTTGTCTTCTGGATTGGGTTGAAAATTTCAAGACTACGGACTTGAACATTAGCCGTCGCAAACCCAAAAATTGGGTCGGCTGTTCAACGACAGTTATAAAGTTAAATATGTAATGAAAGTTGATCCGTGATGGCTCAGGGGATAGAGCGTTCGTCTTTCAATCCGGTGACAAGGGTTCTAATCAAATCGATGGCTGATCGATATGAATTCTGTACCGGGATCGCACCGAGCACAGTGCTGACGTAAATTATCCTCACTTACTGGCACATTTAAACTATGATTAGATTATAACAATATTTTCTGTTGGCAGATTTCAGTAACTTTTAAATGTTAATAGGTAACTAAAAGGATGGAAACAATAAAATTTTTCCATAATAATTGCACTATCGTATTTACACAGCTATTCAAACAGTAATACGAGGTTGTTATTTGTCATCTAAAAATTATTAAAATTTTTAAAAAAAAATAGATAAAAACGAAATAAAATCATTTCTATATACGTAGTTTATTGTTTTAATTGACATTTTCTATATATTTTTTACGTTTATGTTATTTTATTTTAGGAATGCGTTATGAATTATTACAACAGAATTCATGCTGAAGGAAAATGCTGATGAATCAAATGCTAACATCGAACAAAAATGTTGCTCCATAAGGCAAACCTTGAATTTCAACAGTTCTACCTTTAAAATATTTAACATATGGTTACTTTCGGAGAGAGAAAAAACAATATTAATACATTTAAACAACAAATGCTTGGGTTTTTTTTTGTAGATTTCACATACTTTTATAAAATGCGTCAGTTTGAGAATCGCAATCTAAGGCAAAGTAACGACGAACATTGTAAAAGAGCCAAAATGATAACGCATTTACAAGTATATTGTTGTAGTCGTCGCCATTAAGGCAGAGGGGGTGCGATTGTTCTTGTTTTCCAGTGGCGCCATCTATTTCAAAGAATTCGACTTCTGCCACACCCGTTTATAAAGTGAACCCATTCATACATCCACAGATCGTAATTTTGACCTGAACCAGAGAACGATTGATTTAGCACCCATAGAGGCATAGATTGTTATGGGAACATGGAGGACTTTGTGACCAGACAAATTTAACTTGCAATAGTCACCATTTACTAAATAGGGAGTATTCGGCCGCCTGGATTTGAACTACCGTTCTCACGAATCCTGCGTCCTGCCAACCAGGCTATCCCGGCCTTACAAATATATTAAATCAACTCAATTATTTCTTAAATTTTATACAATATTCAATGTATTAATTTTTTAAAGTATCATAAGGTATCTAACTTCATAATTGAACTTACATACAGTGTTTAAAATTTTTATTTAGTAAAACAAACAATGGAATTTATTTAGACATACAATCCACGCACTGTGTTAAAAAGTAATTAATGACTTACAACCACGATTATGATATAATCAAGATCACTTGAAATTATGATTTCATTTATCCCTACTGTCATTAAATAATACTTTTATTTATGATCATATTGCTTGCATTTAAGATTTTAAACTAGGCAACAAATAAATTATTGGTTTATTAATTGACTCGTTAGATTATGATTAAATTTAATCATAATTACTTGGGCTCGTACATTACGATAAATAATGATTAAATAATGATAATGAATATAATCGTGGTAATCAATGTTAGTAGTGAACGTAACTTTATTACTTGCTAT